AGAAGAAGAAGAAGAAGAAGAAGAAGAAGAAGAAGAGAGGAGGAGGAGGAGGAGGAGGAGGAGAAGAAGAAGAAGAAAATATGTGCCTTTACCAAAATTTAAGGAACACAAAGTTTGCAAACAAATATTGTTAAAAGATTAGATGTTGTTCAAGCTATAGAAGCGCCATCAAGAAGTAATAATAATAATACTAATAACGGAAAAGGGAAAAAGGAACGACGTGGAAGAAAGAAAAAAGAAAAAAATATTCCTTTTCCTGTTGGCGGTGGTGGTGGAACAAATACTAATGTGGCACAAGTTCAAGTTACTACTGAGACAACAGGAGGTACAAGTAGTGGTAGTACTAGAGAGTGAATGAAAGAGATCATCCTATTTGGTTCACTTTGGTTGCATGTGATAAGCAGTGAGTTTAATTCTACGACTTTCAATTATATGTATTACTTTTCTCTATAATATTTTGATTTATGTGACAATGTTTGACTAGATATGATTTTTTTTCAGGGAAGGTCCTTCACCCTTACCATAGATTTATACCCGCTACATAAAGATCAAGGAAGTCTTTAATTACATTTGAACATATATTTACAAAAATATTATGTCCTGCCTATATATATTTTTGAAGTTCTAGATACATTTTGAAATGTTGGTCATTCATTTTTTCTTTAAACTATAGTAGCCATTGTGGCATGCATGAATCAATTTGGTAAAGGTAATTTTTTTTTCTTTTTGTATGAATTCTCTCTCAAATGAAGGAAAGCTATCAATGACATAACTAGTAAAGTTGTTCCAATATGACTAGGATATCACAAGTTTGTGCTGTGAAAAAATGCAGAATAAGGTGTGTATAATGAACCCTAATGGTATGGTCCTTTCCTGGACCTCGTATAGCTCAAAATACCTCTTAACTTCAATTAATATGTTGTACTTCTTTTATATGGTTAAATAGGGATGTGAACAAGTCGTCTTTCTACCTAAAAAAGTACCTTGCACAAAAATTGAGTCTTCAGAGCGAAGACGAGGTAATTATATACTTATATCGTCATTCAATATTTGCTCTGATATCTTCTAAATGACACCTGATTATTAATTTTGAATTTCTAATCCTAATAATTTGAAATATAGGTGGAGCTTTGTATGTTAGAAATGTTGATTCGTCCTGAATTGCCTCTCAAACATCTAGAAAAATTGTGGTTACGCGTAGCACCTCACTCTGGAAAAAGTTCAGTAAAAGTTGGAGCTTCTGCCGAAGAATTTGTCATGGTTTTGAAATATTCTCGATCACACCCAAAATTGAATTAGTATATTAACTATGTACAATATTTCAGTTTCTCCTTTGCCTAGACATTCAAATTTTGCAAGGAGAAAACTTCTTGTTGCATATTGTTAAACACCTTTAATTTGTGTGTGTTTTTTTTTATAAAATCAATTAGACGTTTTTGAGTTACTTCTTTTGCACTCTAGATATCAGTTGTTTATTAAGAATTGTGTTTTTTTTGTTCATTTTTTCTAAAGATGTGTTAGGTTGCACTTTTTTTTAGATATTGACAGCCAGAGTCAGGGACGAATCTACATCATTAGTTACGGATTTGACAAACCTTGGCCAGACTATTATATTCGTGTTAAAAAGTTCACTTAATAGGGTATAGAAAAATAATCTATATCGAATCCAACAAATTATCATGTACTAGAATCAGTGGCATAGCTACATAGATCGACCCAAGGGTGGTTATTTGAACACTCATAATCAATAACTTATTTTATGCATATAGAAAATAATTCTGATATCAAAGTTAACAGGTTGAAATGCGCATAAGTTGGTTCGGATACCAATAAGAGAGGGCTTTGTCCATCACATGTATGATCGTGATTTGTGTTCATCTTTTGCTGGGGATTAATTCTTGAGACAAAATTGTTCAACATACTGTTTTTTCACATTACTATCAAACTTCATGAATTTTTTCCCCATTGATTATCTCAATATACGTCTTGATCATGCTATCAGTTACTTTTCTCGCCAAATTTATATCGTCTCGATTTCGAATCAAAATCCTTTTCCTTTCCCTTGAAACCTGCTCATATGAACACATTCTAGTTAAATTTGAGAAAACTTAGTTCTGAGAAGAATTCTTTTATAAACTTCTATAACATGAATCAGAATTTCCAAATATCATTTTTCACTTTGAAAACAAAAAATTATACTTTTTTCGATCTTCACAATGAAACATGGTCAAACGTCTTATTTTATGAGTTATGGATCACATTTTTTTTCTTGGCTATTGTGTTCTGAATATATTGCTTATATAGAGTTTGGAGAAAAAATACTTTTTTTTTTGCCAAACCAGTAAGTTAAGGGATGGTTCTACCCCTGCATCTATACGGTAGGGGTGATAATTGGACGGGTTGGGTCATATTTGGGAGGGTCAAAATGGGTCAAGATCCAACTCAACCCAAATTTGTTTGGGTCAAAACGGATCAAGTAATGGGTCATAACCCAATCCATCCAATTTTTACTACGTTTTAATTATTTTTTAAAAAGATTTTAGTACCAAATAAAAAATATTATTATGGTTATACATAACATATTAAACTGGCCAAATGACCTGTGAGACCCTTGTACTTGGCTTCGTTTGTCGGTTGAACCCTCCTACTCATCAGTTTATCAACTAAACCTTTAAACCCATCAGAACACAACATGTAAAGCCCTTTTCTCCGAGCTCAACTAAGTAGGAGGGTTCAATTTGGACTACATATCAACTCATTTTTTAATGGATTGAAATGAGCTGAGCCCAAACTCAAACAGGTTGGACAGATTGAATTTTATTTTGTCACCCTTAATCTATAGAAATTAAAAAGGAAATTGTACTAACCATTTGAGTAAATCCAAGTGAACCTCCAAATCAGTGATGTATGTGAGATTATGCATTTCCTTTAAGGAAGGGGATATCTTATGATCCAAAATTATCTCTTCACCAACATGCCAATAACTCCAAAAATAATCTCCAAGTTTTTGAATCAGTCTTGTTTGAACCTCGAAATCATGTTTGTTTACTACTCTCAAAACTTTCACTCCTAATCTTTCAAGCCATTGTTTGAATCTAATATTCCCAACTCTTGGCCCTGAGAATGAAAATACACAAAGGGGAATAACACGTCCGGGTAAATCTAATCCAATTTCTGCAATGTCATAAGTACTAAACATAGCTAAGCCACCTCCCAAGCTATGTCCTGCTATTGTTATGCTTAATACCTCATTCGAATATCGATCTATCAGTCTCTTAACTTCGTCAAGAACTTGTTCCCTTGCTGACAACTTGCACACGTTGCATTGATCGTGTTTCCTCGTGTAGATGTTCAACAATCCAGCTTCGATTTTGATTGTTGGATCGCGACTAGACATGTTGTAATCTCTAGCTGGTCTTTGTAAGTCCATTATATCCGCTATCTCCTCAACATCCTTTGTTGTTTTACGCCAAGCAATTGTTATGTCACGGCATCCTAAGTGTGCTGAGTACTCATCATTTGATACTACAACATAGCCAATCCAATTTGCTTGGTGACTCAAATTACTAGGCCAAATTGAATGAGTGAGGCATTTGGAGTAAATGTAGCTGGAGACATCATAGCCATGTTTTTCGCCACTAGTGACTTCGGAAAAGAAATTAGGATCGATGCTATAGCTATGATCCAAATCGTACAGTGGCGATTTTGAAAAAGAAACTAGGATCGATCTTATAGCTACGATCCAAATCATATGCATTGTGACATGCTTGTAACATATCTCCGTAACGTATTAGCTCTGCTTGTAACAGGGGATCAATAGGGTCAATCATCCCTTCCCAATCATATATGAATGGAATTTCTGTTTGGGTTTTGTTTATTTGAGAAGAGAATTATTCTGGAATAAGAAATGATCATTGTATTAGAGATTGGGAGAAGAAGAATTGCACTTTGGTTTGTTGGGAAAAAAATGTGCTTTTTAGTCTTCTGAATTTGTGGCTTTATATAGAGTCTCTTACTCCAAAGGTCACGGTTCGAAATTCAATGGATAATGGACCTGATACTCTACTTGAATACTATCATATTGGAACTTGTGACGTGTATTTAACCTACGCATAATAAAGTTATGCTTTAACAACTAGAATATAATGATTAATAGACCTGCTTCTCTACTTTTCTCTACTTTAATACTCTGTGATAGTGTTAGGACCTGTGACGTGCATCTAATCTACGCATAACAACCAGAATATGATGATTATATATTTTTGTTTACTAGGGAAATGGTCTAGCTACTTTTGAAATTAGTAGGATGCTACTTGGCATTAAAGTAACACTAATCAATTGAGCACATTAGTGTTTCTAATTGAATATTTTTTTTAAAAGGTAGGAAATTACTAATTATCAACAACTATTAGAAGGACCTACTTTTATATATTAGCAGCCGATAATGTTGAAAGTGGTTAGAGATTCGATTTTGAAAATATTACATTAGAATAAAGAAGATTTTGGTTTGGTGTATTTAATTAATTGTACATTTAAAATGATACATTGGAATAAGGAATGACTTTTTTTTCTTTTTAGCAACTCTTTGATTTCAGTGTTTCATACGACATGTTTAAAACTACAAGATTAAATGGCATTTCAGTAGATTCAACATATTTTTAATTTAAGACCACAAAATTCAAGTCTTCCGTAGTGTCTTAAATTTCGTGTCAAGTCAAAAGCAGACAAATATGTGCGGGACTAGGCCCAAAGCAATCTAAAACCTTAAGTTGTTAAAGAGAGCACACTTTTATTAGTTAATGATATTCTCAACAGACGTTCATGATAGAAAGCAGGCCTTTGAAAAAGGGGTGAAAATTATTCCTTACGCAATGTTGACACTCAATTTTGACCCTCCCCGAGAAGACTTAATTTTCGAGCTTCTTTAATTTCAAACGATTTGGAATAATTAATTTGATGAAAATTTCAAATATTTTTCAAGTCATTTTTAGGTAATTTTAGTCATTTTATAATTTTTAAATAATAAATATGTTTTTATATAATTAGTATATTTTATAAATATTCGAAAATCGCGTCAATTTATTTTACTTCTACATAAATATTTTGTTAATTAGTTTAGTTTAAATTATAGTTAATATTCTTGAATTAATTAGTTTGATTAAGTTAATTATTTAATTTTGTTAAGATTAAAAAGTTTGTTAATTAATTAATCTTAATTCATCGTGTTTAAATTATAGCCAAATTCACTAAATTCACTCAATTCAGCTATGTTTTGAATTCTATATGGCTATAATTGCAATCCATCTAGCTATTTTGTATTTGCAAATCTAACCCTTTTAACCTCACCTTAGCTCCTTAACTTAGACCAAGATTTTGGCCTTTTCTAATTTTTTCAGCAGCCCACTTCTTTCATATAAGACCCAACCCATTACAATACCAAAACAATACAATACCCATACAACAATACAACATACGTACAGCAAGACCAAATACCAGAACTACCCCTGCTTCATTCTTGGTCTTCTTCGCGAGCCCAGATATGCAGAACCCAGAACTCCAAGGAAAATCGCGAGCAACAGCCCAGCGATTCCAGCAGCCCAGACGCGAGCCCATCAGCTCATTCTCCTGGCATCGCAGCGTGTCCCTCTCCGTATGCGAAGCTTCGGGAATAATCCAGGTGGAGCAATCTTGCATCTCCTTCTTCCTTTGCTGAAATCGAACGGATGTCATTCCAAATCCGTTGAAATTGGTACTTTGCCAACCGTTTGAGCCTTATCTCTTAGAAAGGTTTGAATTTCGAATTTGAAAAATTCATCCAAATTTCACCCGAATTCCCCCCAAAAATCGTGCCCTAATTCCTCCTATTTAACCCGCCCCCTCCCTCTTCTTCTTTGTGGGAGGTTGGAGAAAAATTTGGAAAAAAAAAAGGTAGGATAAAAAATTGGAAAAAAAAAGGTTGGAGAAAAATAGCTCGAGCCACAAATTACATAAAGTTCCAATAGGAACAAAAAGTAAAACTAAGGGTGCTTTCGCAGATCGATTCCAAAAGAATTTTGAAGCTCTTTTAGTTTTGGTTTCTGTTCTATTCAGTATCCTCCGGAGTTCGTTGGAATCCCATGTCAATGGTGAAAGGTTGGTGAGAAGTCCAGCTCATTCGTCCCGTTCGCTGCCCGAAAGAAGGTAAAGCTTTCTCCTTCGTAACACTTTCCTCATTTTTTTGTTCCAGTGTGATGTTACTGGCTATTTATTGTTTGCTATTATTTGTTATTGAGCTCTAGACGATTTGATATATTGCGTTCTTCTTTAAATGATCTTGGTATTTACTCTTAAGCGCTAATTCAAAATTTTCTTTTGCTGTTTTGTAGTTGGTGTTTTTCTGTTTTGAATCTATTTCATTGCCTGCCTCTCTTTACTTGTTTTGATGTCTGAATCTGTATTTTCTTGTCTTCCATTACTTAAATATCAGGTTTCTTTCACTTTGTTACTATAATATTACTTTTTTTCCTTTTGAAATGAAGGCAGAATCTCAGAAATTTAGCTGATATGAAATCGTATGTTGTATTATCTACTGTTTGGTTGGGTTGCAATGACTGGCTTTCTCTATTTTATTTAATCTCGTGTTTGTCCTATTGTTCAGCATGTCGGGTTTAGAATTGGTTTGTCATCTCCTTTATCTAAATTTTAGTCGGAATGCTCCTTATTTGCGGTATAGCTTATAAAAATGTGAGTCTCTCTTGTTGTTTTCTTTTTATTCCCTCTTGTTCCAGTTCCTGTTTCCTCTCAAAGTTGATGCCTATTTTCCTTTTTCTGATCGCTGTCCAGATTCAGCATGCAAATTGAATAGCTAGTTTATAGTTTTCCGTTTGTTTTGGAATATAGAATATTGGTCATCTATCCATCTTGCTATCTTTCTTTTAGTTTTCTCTGTATAGTATTATCTGTCCGTTAGAACAAGCTCTAAATGGTTGATTTTCTATAGTTTGAATGCTGTCTCATATGCTTTTTTTTTCTTAGTTATAAAAATGGTGGTCTGTTACAGTTGTGTCGGAAATCGGAATCATGCCTTTCCTCTGTTTATTTCTTTTTTAAGGCTAAATTCATGTACCATTCAATTGATTTAATCAAATGAATGTTTCAAATGATATTTACTTCTACAATTTATTTATTTTCTTTTCGTATATGATGATGCTTTAGTCATTAAATTGATATAGTTTACTGTTGCTTTCACTACACTTTCTCAGGCAATATTAATCTCTTTTAAGTCAAGATTGTTTCTTTATTTAAATGGCATTAACTGATGCAAAGTGTGTTGCATTTTCTTCATTGTCTTAGCTCAAATGTTAGAATAATTTTGCTAGTTTTTTAATGTAGCCTCTTCTCCCAGTCAGATGGTATATGATCTAATTCCATTTCCTTATTTTGTTTGGGTACAACCCGCTGGCCGAGTCTTTTAGGCTCTTACTGTTCTCCTAGCCTCTCTCATTTTTATATATTTCGTGTTAATTTTATTGTTAGTACATGCTTATTTGCTAATTAATTTTAAGGTTCTTAACTCATAATTCCTCAAAGGACAACCATTTTGAGTTAGTTAACTTATAGTACTTTATCTTAAAATAACTAAGTATACTTGTCTTTTTTTCCAAATTGATTTCTAAAAATGTTAGAAGCGTTTCTCTACTTAAACATATTAGATAATATATACCCTTTCCTCTCTAAATGATTTTAAGTTATAAAATTTGTTTATTCCGTAACTAGTCAAACCTGCCTATTGTTAGCCAAATATATTAATTGTCGGATAACCACATGTTAGCGGATGTTCTAGCTACTTTAAAACCCTTCCTAGAACATTAATGTGAACCCCGAACTCCCTTAAATATTTTCATTAGATTTACTGTTTTAATATTTTGAAAAAAAATAGTTTTCTTAATTTTCCTTAAAAAAATTAAGTGGCGACTCTAAAACTCGTCATTTTCTCTTTTTAAAATAAAAACAGACGAATCCACATCGAAATAGGAGAAGAAAGTTAAGGACCTTGTAAGAACGAGTTCAAAACAACTTTTGAGGCATCGTTTGAGTTAAAATCCAAGGGACAAATCCGTGCAGTCCTATACCCAAAAAGGACAACACCTTAACAATTGGACAAAAGACTTTACAATTGAGCCCCAACGTTGAGGTCTAGCGATAGACCGTACGTGATGTATGAATCAAGCATACGTCACATGTTCAAACTTATTGTAGAAAAATGCATGATAGTATTTAAGTAAAAAGGGGGAGAGGGACGATCCCACTATCCATCGAGCTTCGAATGTCGTGTCGGTTGGCCCTCTGGGATTTTCTAGTTACAAAAATAAAGAAAAGAGAGTGTAGACATTGAAATTTTGTGGGACTCTACAAGACATGTTCAATTCGAATTGGGACTGTAGAAGGTTTGTTCGGTTTCAATTAGATTTCTTGGAGGCTACTACCCTAAACCCTAGTTCATTGCATATATAAAGGGTACTAAATTCCCTTAAAAGGCATCTCCAATATTCCCCAAAAGTCATGGAATATTCATATAAAGGTTAAATCTAAATAATCCTTGTTCGAGAAATTCACCACTAACGGCCCTCGAATAATGGAAAAATCTTAGGAGAGTACAATCAAGGGAGGAATAGAATTGTACCCGCACTATTATCAATAAAATATTCATGTTTCTTCTGATTTTATTTGTGTGGTTTATTTATTTTTCATATGTTTAAAATTTGTTTCAAACAAATTAGCACGCCCAATGAGACCATCTCTACCTCTCATCTCAATTTTTCAAGCATCAAAGAATATCGAGATGACTTCCATGAAGATCAACTCTCAATCAACTTCCTATAAGGCCACTAGCTCCAAGTTCTCTACTGAAAAATTGAAGGCATTCATGGTGTTACCTTTGGAAGTTTCGGAGTTGTTACAAGGAGCAAAGCTACTATGCTAGGACAACAAACACTTCAAGTGTCGTCACCATCAACTCTTATTTTTAGGTCTTCGACCCCAAAAGGAGTAAGTTCCCCCACAAATGCTTTAGAAGGAGGAGTTAGTGTTGCTGAAAAGATCAAGAAAACATTAGCTCTGGTTGAACAATCTGGTTCGAAGACCTCTACCACAAGGGAGAACTATGATTCAACCAATGAATCATCTCTACATGCATCGCGTAACGTGATTCCACTGAAGATCAACTTACGTGACAATCCATTTTACTCTTCTACATCTCCAATGATCATGCAAACAATGGTGACCGATGCTTCTTCCCCTAAGGAACAACTCGCAACTCTGACGAAGTTGGTTAAAGGACTGACAAAACATGTACAACACCAAGAGTCTCGAATCGATAAGTTAATGGATATGATGGAAAGACTTTTAGATGGAGAAGTGATTCATGCGCCTGGAAAGGTTGTTGAAGTTCAAGAGATCGGAGATCCTGCGAAGAAAGCACCCCTTGTTAATGAGATGCCAGTTTCTTCTGAAGGAATGATCCCACTCGATCGCTTGAAGGAGTTCATTTAAGGCACAATCAAGGATAAGTATGAAGTCTCTACCAAGTCTTCTCATATGTATGCCAAGCCATACACTGTGAGAATTGATAACTTTAAAATTCTTGCTGGTTACCAACCTCCCTAATTTCAAAAATTTGAGGGTAAAGGAAATCTGAAGTAACATGTTGCACACTTTGTGGAGATATGTAATAATGCTGGAACATATGGAGACCATCTTTTCAAGTAGTTTGTCCGCTCTCTAAAAGGAAATGCCTTTGATTGATACACGGATCATGAACCCAATTCTATCGATAGTGGGAGCAATAGAGCATGAGGTTTTCAATCACTTTTATGGCACGAGGCGTATGGTGAGCATGGTAGAACTCACGAATACTCGCCAAAGGAAGGACGAACCGATTATAGACTTCATAAATCGATAGAGGAACGCTAGCTTGAATTGCAAAGATAGGCTTAGTGAAGCTTCTACGATAGAAATGTGTATCCAAGGGATGCACTGGGAGCATCTTTACATCTTACAATGAATAAAACCAAAATCCTTTGCAGATCTAGCTACTCGCGCTCATGATATGGAGTTGATCATGTCCTCTGCTGGAAAAGATATGACGCTTGTCCATGACCCTCGCAAAGGAAGGGACAAGCAGGAACCCAAGAGATGGAGCAAATTTTTGCCCAAGAATGACAACAAAGAGTCAATGAATGTTAATGTGTCACTTATAAATTTCACTACGAAGGAAGGCAAGAAGCAAAGTGTGAGAACGAATTTCCAAGCGCGCTCGAACCAAAAGTCGATCCTAAGGGAAATGCGAGAAAAGGAATACCCCTTCTTGGATTCTGACATTTCTGCTAATTTTGATGAGTTGCTTGAGTTAAAGCTCATTGAGTTGCCAGAGATGAAGCGACCTAATGAAGCTGGAAAAGTTGATGACCCAAATTATTGCAAGTATCATAGACTTGTGAGTCACCCTCTTGATAAATCTTTTGTCTTGAAGTATAGAGTGATGCTATTGGTTAGAGAAAAGAAGATTGTCCTTGATGATGAGAAAGTTGGTTCTAACCAAATCTCCATCACATTCGGCTCGTTCGATCCGATCCAAATATGTATCTCTGAAAAGCATGAAGAAGAGTCCTTAGAGCAAGACAAATCTCAAGTAGATATAGATGGTCACGAAGGCTGGATTCATGGGACTAGGTGAAGACGCACCAAATCAAGCTTACGAAAGGAATCATTCGAGCAACCAATCAGAAGGAAGATAGTGACGAAGGTTTGATTCTTGTGACTATGCGAAAATGCAACAAGTCAAGCTTACGAAAGGAATCATCCGAGCAACCGATCAGAAGGAAGATGGTGAGGAAATTGGAAAAGAAAAAATCAATCAAGCGTCCAAAGAGGGAAAAGATAGAAGTGCATCACTACCAGAAACCCCGACGTCCTGTGACTCTAGAGGAATTCTTACCAAGTTCATTCTGCACAAAGTCTACTCAAGACAATGTCGAGGCATCATGTTTCAATTTTGATAAATAAGAAATAATGAAGGTGTCTCTTACTGACAAAGACATAACAACGAGCAAATTCTCACCACAAGTGTCTCCTAGTGACGAAGAAGAAGCAACGAGGAAAATCCCATCAATGATGTATCCTTCGTCTTCTGAAAAAACCTATTGAACCTTCTTCCCAAGAAGCACATGCATGTGATACAAAAATAACATTTACAAATAATGATCTTCTATTTGGTGAAACACTACACAATCATCCTTTGTATATGGTGGGTCACGTGCTAGAGAAGAAGATAAATAGAATCTTAATAGATGAAGGATCTAGAGTCAACATTCTGCCTATCCACACATTGAAGGAACTCGGCATCATGACTGAAGAACTTAGTGGAAGTTGTCTGTTGATACAAGGATTCAATCAAGGGGGACAGAGGTCCATGGGCTTTATTAAATTAGAAATCCACATGGAAGATTTGCGATCAAGCGCATGGATGCATGTGATCGATGCAAAGACTTCATACAATATATTACTTGGCAGACCTTGGGTACATGATAATAGAATTGTCTCGTCTTCTTACTATCAATGTTTGAAGTATCTTGAAGGTGGGATTGAAAGGAAGATAGTTGCGGATGATAACCCTTTCACAAAAGTTGAGACACACTTTGCCGATGCAAAATTCTATTTGAAAGGTTATGTTGTTAAAGGGGCAAAATCTAATGATGTCAAATCAATCAAGTCTGATAAGATCACAATAAAAAGAATTGATGTGGCTGTCGGAAAGGTAAAAGTTGACAGCAAAGAACTTTGTCCCATTCTTAATGAAGGGAAGATCATTTCATCAAAGAAATTGACTTCTAGACTTCGCTATGTTCCAAAACTAAATAAAGAAGAAGGTAGATCATCTAACCTTCAAGAAAATGCACTTAGAGGACTAACTCTTGCTATCGGACAGATTGATGCAATAAACTTGTCTTCAAAGCTGCCAGGAAAGTCAATAGCTCGAAATCAAGTGCGAGATGTGGCATTCCCTACAAAGCGCATAAGAGAAGGTTTTGATTTCAATGCTTACAAGTTATTTGTGAGGGCTGGATACAACCTTAATGAGCCATCAATGTTAGGGAAACTCACATCGGAAGATACAACTACGCAAGCATGTAAAGTTCTAGGCTATAGCCAATCGCCGCCAATTCGCATTTTCATAAGAAGGGCAAGCAATAATCATATAACTGTTGAATATGACATCACTACTCCCAATAAAAAGCCTTCCTTCTTTGATCGACTTGGATAATCAACTTCAAGAACTTATGTGTTCAAGAGATTAGGTCTATTGAAGAAGAACAACAACAAGCATCAGAGAAGTTATCTAAAAGTGACAACGCTGGCTTCATCAATGATCCAAAAGGATTTCAAAAGTTTGATTCCTTCTAGAATGAGGCGACGAGTGGAACTTGCGGTTTCTTGTAAATAGGAACTAAAGGCAACGATTCACATTGTGGTTTACACCAAGGAGCATGAGGAAGATGAAGAAAGTGTAGGCTC